GTGAGGTTGCTGGCATGCCCGTAGGTTCCGACCCCTAGTTTCCAAGAGTAAGACTTTTGAGTATTTAACCGAAGGTCTACGAAGAAATTTATAAGCTCATTCAGCTGATTGTGCTCACAGTGTTCATGTGATCAAGAGTCCTAAAATGGAAGAACTCCCAATCACAGGAACATTGCAAGCACATTCAGGATTCTTTGGAGACTTTCACATTAAACATGCTAAAGTTTGCTGACTTCAGAGTGGGATGGGGACATGGAGTAGGGCTTACATGTCTCTCCACGTGCCTCCCACCTATTTAGCTCTACACATATTCAGGCATAATACTTGAACAGAGCTACTGTCAAATTCTGGGGAACCAGACTGAGGGTGGAGGTTGTAATGCCTCCAGCTAGTGTATAGAGATGCAACTTAACTCTAGGTGTTCCATCTTCCTATGCACACACCATGGTCTCATACAATACCATATTCTCATACAACATCTGTGAGATATTCTGCAAGGAAGTGGAGCTTTTCCATGCCATAAAAGCCCCCCGGCAGGATTCATAGTTAAACAGAAATGCAAGTTGTTCTGCAGCATTTGAATTTTTGTAGATATCAGTCATACAAAGTTGCAGGGCAGCAATAAGTAGGGATCGAATTTTGGGTTTTTGGACTACAAATCTATAATTCAACCTCCTGGGAATTCTACCTGACTTACACACATCTTACATACACCTAAGCATTGCTTAAAAAAAACTAAAATGGAAGGTTTTCAGGCTTAGCTAAGCCTAGCTCTATCTGTTCAAAAAGAAAGCCTCCAGCTAGCACTGGAGCAGGAGCAAAAAGTTTGTGTGGAGCAGGAGCAGAAAGTTTATATCCACCTTTCCTCCAAACTTTCAGGATAAAGTTTTCAATTTGTCTTTCTTCCCCCCCCCCAAAGCAATACAGCATTGTCCCAGTAAAGGTTTTTAAAAACTTTCTTCCTCTGCCCTGCCACAGAACAGAGGAACTGTTTAATTTCTCAATATCATAAACTGGTTCAGCTCTTTTCTTGTCACTTAACACTGGCAAATTGATAGCAGAAGGGAAATTGACAGCCAGAAGCTCACCTTGATTCATTTCCAGATACTGCACACACTGAAACAAACTAAAACAGAGCAACCATATCTGCACCAAAAAAAAAGGAGCAGTCCCTAACAGGGATCAAAAAAAGTGCAAGTAAAAGTGTTCTCTGGAAGGCCTGGTTTTCTCCAGCAATTACATCATGTGATCACTGGGAAAAGGAATGAACCAGCCTATCCTCACAGCAAACCGAACAGTAGGACAAACACTTTTCTGATCACACCCCAAGTAGATTAAAACTGGAAAGAAATGTATACACTTTATTGTATATAATTTATTTACGAAACATTATTGAAATGTTAGTTATCTTCCCTTTTAAAATTCAACAGATAGTTATCCAAAGATTTATAGCCAGTCCATTTTATACCATACATAAGAATGTCATACATTGGCTTTTTTGTTTGTTTGTTAGACAGCCATAATAGTTTAGGTCCTTATTCTGATGAATTCAGTAACAAAGCTACACAATTCTACCCCAAAGGGCAGCTTGTGAAATGAATAGGTAACTGCATCAAGCCAAGAGTGCTCTTCTCAGGCCAAATAAATAAATAAATTTAAAAAACCCTATTAAGTAAATTAAAACAGCTTCTGCATTGATTAAAAGCATACTAAGAAGCACTTCATTATATGCTATAGCATTTGTGTGCAATAACTGCTCAATGGAAAAAAGGACAATGGTATGAAATAGTTGTCTCCCATTAAGTATCAAAAGTCTGTCATCTAAAATTCATTTGGCTCCCACAATATAAATATAGTGAATTATTTTTGCAGGCAATGCCAGAAAGTCAGCAAGTAGTTACTGTTTTTTTGCCAACCAAAGCATGACTCTCTGTGTAGGAATTTTCTTTCAAACATATAAACAAAGATGGCCAGAAACCCACTGTTGCTAACTGAGTATGACAAATATACTGAATATGCAACTAATGTTGTATACAATATACTATAATATATCCGCATTTCCTCCAAATATTTACTATAAATCAGCAAAAATCCATTTTATTATGTAAATGTCCTTGCATTCTATAATATTGTAAAGTCTCTGAAAACAAAATTGGATAGGTGTTGCTTGAAGTGACTGGTGGAGTTCCTCACTGTCACAAAAAATTAGTGGGAAATTAACTTTTGTGTGCACCACATACCAAAGACTCAACGATACCAAAACTGGCCATGCTCTTCTAAATTGTGAAAGAGAATACAGGACACGCTGAAGTGAATATTCACCAATATAAAGTGTTGGCAAGGGTCTCATGTTTTAAGATAACCACATCTTCTAATCAAAAGGAATGTCTTATTTCAGAATATTGCCTGCAGCTCTATTGAACTCTAAACGCACCAACTTGTAATACGTTTTATTTTGGAATAAGATACAATAAAATGTAAGCCAAAAAAGGGGGGGGATGGGGACTTCAAAAGTCCAAATACCACAGATCTATAGTCTTTCTGATATTATGGTTTCATGACCAAGTGTCTTTTGTGATATGTGGATCATTTCCAAACTGATATTATTGGAAGAACAGGCAAGTTCTCTATTGAACAAATTCTAGGCAGAGGTACATGTTCTGGAAACATTACAGCACAGAATAGGAAAGGAAAGAAAACACCAGAAACTTTTTAAAATACACAATGCATCAAATGGCAATGCAAAAATATTTTGCAAAATTTAATGTAACAGTAAAATGCTCAATGCTTTTTCAACAAATGCTTTCTTCGGGGGCACAAGAAAATTGTTTTCTTAGTAAGGTTTTGGGTTGCTAGATCTCAGGGCATCAGCTGAAGTCTCAGAGAATTGCTGTGAAAATTCTCTAGGCAGGTAAACAAGCTTCTGGGTCGAAATGTAATTTAATTTTTATATATGAGTAAGCTTCAAAATTTGGGCACAGATCTCCATCAACCCCCCCAACAGATGCCAGGGCTTACTGGCTCATTGTAACGCTTATGTATGCACAGTTATCCTGTGTGTACCCCCTCTTTCCCAAATAAGATAGATGCATTGAAATCAAGAGGATTTGCACAAATGTTGACCAACAAATGAAAATAATTTCTATGGGTTTACACTAGTTAGGTTTAAAGCCATTTAGGCCATTGCCTAAATGAGACTATTCAGAGGACACATTGTGATCTTGTTGCTTGTCTCTTACCTCCCTTTCTATGTGTTTGTTCAAAGAAGTAGCCGATAGACCAAAGTCTTCAAATAAAACTGGCTTATTGTTCAACATATCAGTGTCATTTGTAATTGGCTTATCTGTTTCGAAATTCAACATCAAATCATAAGTCTTAACCTTGTTAAAACTGGGCAACTCTCCATGATAAGACAACGGTGAATAACTAGAAACTTCTTGGGCCCACTTTGGTTTGTCACCCAACAATTTGGGTGTGCTATCCGTTGGGTTCAACCCTGAGGAGGGTAAGCTGAGCCCTGTTGAGGCTCCTTCCTTGACAAGCCCGGGTTCTGTCTCCTCCATCTTATATATCTAATCAATCTCTCTAATTGAAATAGGACACAAAATCACAATAAACATAAGATGCTATATGCATGCCCTTGTTATGCTGTGACCCTTTCTTTTGATCTTGTTCTCCACAAAATTTCATGTAGTATAACAGCTCAGAGCATCTCTGCACACCACCTTATCTAGTCTGCAGTAACTGACACCAATCTGCTCTACTGCTACAGAGCACCATCCTGAATAAGCTCAGAACATCTGCATAACACAGTAAGTCCTGCCACTGTAATAAAAGGGCACCGCAGGGTTTTTGTTCCCTCACTATCAAGTAAAGTAGACATCTACTTGAAAAATAATCCAGGGAAAAAAACTGGGTTAAGACTTTCCTCAATGGAAAAATACTGAGATAAAGACTGTGGTTTCTTTAAGAACAATCACAGCTTATGAAGATACTTAGTTTTCTCCAGATTATGGATAAAATGCCTGTGATCTGTAAATGGATCTTAGAAATGTCAGCTCCATAATGCTTCACTCAAATCACTAAGATCTTTTTCAGCCCACAAGAAAACAGTCCAGAAAATTAAGCCACACTTATTCACTCTGCTCAAAAGTTTAAGTCTGAAGCAATCCAAATAAACTGCCTTAACAAAAACACCAGGGTTGGCACCAGAATGTGGCATGCTCAGGCAGCTACCAAGGAGTCGGTGCAGTGGTAAGACCCACCACTGATGCTTTCCCTATGCCTAGTTTTTAAAAATGCCAGCCCAGTGCTCTAACATTGAGCAACTGGGTCTAAAACATTTAGGTTTCCCAAATTGGCCTTATTTAGAATTGTGAGAAACGAAAATGGCACTTGACTGACTGGACATATCATTTACATTTCCCACAGTGGCCTGTAGAAATGTTGCTTTGGGGGCATTCTGGGCCATTCAAATGTTTAAATGGCTAAAATCAGTACCTTTATTTTAATTTAACATTAACATTAAAATGCATAAAACCAGCCACCTCATGATGTCCAGAATATAGGAGACCCTTTAGGTAAAAATTGCCAGAGCTTATTGAGGAGAAGAGGTTCCACAAGAGAGCACTTCAGCCAGAACCCTCTCTTAGCCTGAGGTAACTAAGGAGAGGTCAAAACAAATGCTTCAGGTAGAACACCACTAAAAGTGCATTACATGAGGTATTACATTAGAAGAAAACATTTACTGTTTCAGCAACGAAATCTTCTCCAACTTTGAGCAATCTGAATGCAAAGAAAACCATTGTTGATGTCTTGATGATCATCACAAATAAAAGAAGCTAATTTGCAAGCCAGGATAGTTCAGAAGAGCGGTAGTGACAACAGAAACACAACTTCTAACGCTTGAGATTTTACCACAATTAAGAAGAAGCACTCTAATATCCCAACAAATACTTTCATGCACACCATGAGTGATGGAATTGAAAGCCGCATCCTACCTCATTGAATCTTGTCACCAGATCTTCAACAGCATTGTGTTCTCCATTAGGAGTAGAGAGTAGAGTTGCAGAAATTGAAGCTTTAATTGTTGAAAGCTTCCTCTGGCATTCAGCATTTCCCAAATCTCTGGTTAAGAAGCAGAGGTAGTCAATGGGCAATACTTTTCTGTAGAGATCCTGTTCCTGCTCGGTCAGAATGCTAGCAACCTCCTCTGGAAACTGAATGAGATGCTGCAGGTCTACAAGTTCTTTGCTGATGCCAGGTACAGTAGAATTAAGGGCATTTGATCCAGCCATAGATGAACTCAGTTGGCGTTCTAAAACAAAACATAAAATTAAAAAGTAAGCTACCATTTCCTCCTTTACCCCTTAAATTTTATTGTTTATCACATATGTGGGGTTCTTTGGTACAAGCTTAAATGTTCTCAGATCGCAATGTCTTATTTATTTACCACAAATCCTTGCCTCTCTACACAAAGCTGCCTATACCACAAAAGAAATTAGATTTTTCCAAAGACAGCAGCTTGGAAGTAACTGGTTAGAAATAATATAATAGTTCATTTGCAACTTGTTCGCTTTTCAAATAAAAATATATAACTAACAGGTACAAGTTGATGAGAGGTATCTTTATTTTGTGATCTATTTTAATTATTTTTAAGCTTAAAAGTATATGACCTTATTAAAGGATGAAGGAGGTACTGTATATCACATGATACACCTGCTAACTCATTTTGTGCCTTGTGTATTGTTCTGGGTGTTGACTCAAAAAAATTGATTAGAATATTGTGTTTACCATAGGTCAATAGCTTGTAGGGTTCAGATCTTTAAAAAAATCCAGCTGAAAAAATTGATAATTACTGTTTAGAAACAGGAATGTAGAATTACTTTTTAAAACTTGCAATGATAATAGTATGGGCAACTACTAGGTCTGCATACCCCAAAAGAGTAACTACCAAATTACTTTTAAAAATTATTGTTCAAACCCCTCAAAGGAGGGTAATGTATTGCTGAGCCAATTATTTTTGCCGGCTCACCACTGGATGAATCACAACATCCATTTCAAATGTTCAAGTCATCAAGCAACATTAAATGATATTGTGTGGTCCAATCTTCGCCAATGTGGTTCCTTCCAGGTGGTGGACTGTATTCCCATCACTGGCAGTGCTGACTAGGCATTACAGGAGTCCCTTCATATTCATAGTCACTCGTATTCACTCAGACACTCTTCTGCTACAAGATTTTTCTTTCCTGTGTGTCATGATCCACTTAGGTCATGATCTGCTGCACTGTAGAAAATGTGGGCAAAGCTGACACAAAGTGAATAGAACTATACCTGACAAACCCCATACAGTTCTGATATCAAACTCCACTGTGGTCCAATAGCTGATTTGAGGGATGTGGGGAAACAGGTACAACCTAATTATAAATCATTCAATTCATTTGGAAAGAATGTAAAGAAACAAACCCACCAAGTTCTGCCTTCTGAGTAAAACTAAGGATCTGGTACATATATAGCCCTGCAGATGTCTGAGAAAGCTACAAAAGCATGAAGACAACAATATTTCCTTATTTGCAGAGCCTTGTAAAAGTCACTTTTCTTGGATTACAATCACCAGACTTTCCTACACAACACAGGCAGTAGCCATGCTGCCTGAAGTTTCGCAGAATTTTAATCCAAAAGGGCCAATTGTCCAACCTTTGGCATAAAGTGCTAAACCTGGAGGGTTCCCTGAGTTATCATGGCTAATGGGCACTAGTAGACCTATTTGTCCTACATTTGCCTACTGATTCTGAACAGCTAGCTGCAGGAGAGGAAATCACTTCTTTTAGCACTACAGCCATGCTTTAGCTATGTGCTGTATTAAATCCTCCCTCTGTTTTTGTTTTACTTTGAATTTATTGCCGCTCAGTAATCATGGGTGATTACAAGTCTGAGTTAACAATGCTCAGAAATACCTACATCTTTCCTTTCTTATTAATATCACTAATACAGTGGTGCCCCGCTTGACGACGATAATCCGTTCCAGGAAAATCACTGTTAAGCAATATCGTCATCAAGCGAGAAAAAACACCATTGGAATGCATTGAAAATCGGTCAATGTGTTCCAATGGGGGAAATACCTCATCATCCAGTGAAGATTGCCCATACAGAACCGCCGATCAGCTGTTCAAATTGCTGTAATGCGAAGCTTCCTTCCGGAAAGCAGCCATTTTGAGAAGGGAGGGTAGCCGTTTTGCGTATAGTGAACAAACGGTTCGCGAAGCAGGCTCCTAATCAACGTAGTGCAGATTTCCCCCATAGGAACCATCGTTTTGTGATCACAATAGCGATCGCAAAAATGTCATAGTTAAGCGATTTCGACGTCATACAGGGTAAGCATATAGCGGGGCACCACTGTACTACTTTGAAAGACAATATTTTCAACCACCAGCTATCACCAGAACAGTCCAATTTGTAATCTGGCTTTTTAACATAATTTTGCTTTCCTTTTCTGTATTGCATCACATGGATAAATTTAGCAAAAGATTTCTTTCCACTCATTCTTTAACTTTTAGTTGAACCTTTTAAAAAAAAAAATCATAACTAGCCCAGGCAGAGTCCATTTTTAGTCACAAAAGTTTTGCCATGGTGGCCTACCTAGAAACAAACAATGAGCAAGTTGCCCAAACCCCTAAGTACAAGACAAAATTATACACAAATGGGAAATTTGAGCCCTAAGGCAACATTTGCTTTGCTCTCAATTACCACAATGAAACATTTATTTTATACAATGGAACCTTTACTTACGAACATCCTTAAATACAAACATTTCAACTTACGAACAGCTCCTTTCACAAAATTTTACTTTTACTTGCGAACTGAGCTTCAATAGGCGAACAATAAAAAAACCCATGGGGGAGGCGGGAAAAGCGCGAAATCTGAACTTTCAGTTAACTGTTGGCCAGCAAAGAGGATGCTTTCCTGCTACCTCACTCGTCCAAGTGAGTGTGGTCCTATTCAGTACTGGCTGATACTGTACTGTACAGACTGTACTTTTTTGGCTTTTTTATTTTTTATTTTTGGATTTTTGACTTTTTTTAAACAGAGAGACTGCCTGTTCTGGGTGAGTACACATATATATGTCCATTTGAGGCCCAAGGTGTCTTATCAGCATACTCAAAAGTGTTTTGTTGTTGTTTTGTTTGGTAATAACAATTTTTGAGGCCTTTGGTGGATGTCAAGAAGTATCTGAGGTAGGATTCCTTCTTAGTGCCAGACAGGAAATGCATATTTGGAGCTACTTCCAATCTTTGACAAGGACTTTTATTTTAATGACAGCATCCACTTGAAAAAAAAAAAACAAAATACAACAAAAATCAGATATTTCAGATATGAATTCTTGGGATAAGTAATGTCAAATGTCTAATATGGCTTTGTAATGTATCTAATTTGAGTTGTCATTCGTTCTCACTTCTGTCTTATACAGCTACTTGCATGCCTTTCTCCAAAATGATGTTCAAGACATTTCAACATTCCCCTAGGAAAGTCCAATAAAATGCTAGATTTTAGACCGCGGTGGACAAAACACAGCCCATGGTCTGTCTGCACACAGCCTCTAAAAAATCCTCATTTTTTCGTTCCATTTTGATTCTAAAATGTCGTATCTATCATAGGAGCAATTTCATTATGGCTTACTTGGGTTGGCTTTTGGCAGTCTAAAACATAGCAGGGAA